TGTTGCCTGCGGAGGAGCGACGGAGGCGAGATCGAGCAACACTTGCGAAAGAAGGTCGGCTGCGGGGTTGAGGGTAGCCGAAGGAAATTTTGGAGCCGAAACGCGGATCGCGGGGATATACCCGCGATCCGCGTGTAACATAAATAAAAAAAGCTGTTCTCAAAAACGCAGACAATACGTGATTTTCAAACGCTATGACGGCGTTTTCAAAAACGCCGCCGCACATTTAAGCTGTCCCAAACGGGGCCTTAGGCTCATCACCCATGACTTATCTACTTGATTAACCGAGCCACCATTATATGCATTTACATTGAAATTCACAGGGTGTTGGTATGCTTTGCACATATTGATGGACTTCACAAAGACAATAATGCATTAGGATGATTGAAAGTGGATGTGATATTTACAAACAATGGAAATATTTATAGGAAACCTTGACATATTGCTGCATTTTTCAAATTTAGCTAAATGAATAAAGAAATTGCAAATTTTATGAAAATGCTTGGTTGAGTCCATCTAAAGTTGAACACAATTTTAAAAAATTTCATAATTCATGAACTATATATAAGATGATCTGCATGTTGACATTGTTTATAGCGGATAATATATATTATTTGTTTTATAATTGAAACTACAAGGTCTTCTCAGCATTGAATGGTTTTTAGATTTACGACCTTCATTATTAAACTAGTTTGACTATTTGAGCTTACTAAACTAATTGCAGCTTGGCTTGATCCTAGGACCTATTGAGCTAGGCCATTTATAAAAATTGACTTGGTTGCAAGAGCACATTGAGCCAAAAATGATGGCTTTGCCTTTTGGCTTGTTCAGTATGCACAATAGCTTAGCCAACTTCGTATAACATTTACAGAGGTAGTCATCTATAAGAAAAATAGGACTTAAAGTCTTTGTATTGTTAAGTTGATAAGCTACTCCTTCATATATCTTTTCAATGTTGAAGGGCCCTTCTCAATTTAGGCATTACGCCCACTGTGAAAAAAGCAATAGGCAATGTCTTGATGATGCATGGCCACATTTATTTTTTTTTATATTTTTAATTTCCTTTTTATTCCGGGTAAACATGACTTCAATATATAATGCAAATTAAAATTTCTAACAAGTTTCATCCACTACTGCTTGAATATACCAGCACATAGCAAGATTTACATTACAGTTCACGGTTATGCAAACTATAGAATAGGGACAAGATGTGTCGGTGCTCCATACCTTGTTTTCATCAAAATCGTAATCAACCATAGCGTCTTTGTTGAGATTGAAGTACTCCTTCAAACATTTACAGCTCTCTGCAGACCATAGGCGCATTACCTGTAATGGCAAAATGGAATACTTCATCATACAGACTTATACAAAAATTCATTACAAATGCAAGATCCAGAAATCGCTTCTCGATAAATGCAATAAAAACCCACTTTGTCTCTCTTTAATTATTGGTATAACATAGAATATTGGCTAATAGAAATGAAGGGAATAAAGTACAAGGAATCAAAATTAGTGAAAATGAAAACTATGAGAGAGTTACAGTAAATAAATTCCAAACCTTCTAAATTTTGTACTTCACGTGACTTAGCATGAGGAAGTATAAGTGAAAATAGTTGTGGATTTTAGTACCTATAAATTGTTGAGAAGAAAAGGTGGAAGAAATAAGGAAGTCAAGAGAAGAAAGTCAAGAGAAGAAAGGCAGGAAAAGGGAAGGAGGATCAACGAGATAAAGAATGACAAAACAAATGTCATTTCTTAATTCATTAATCAACCATCCTACAAACTAATGGACGTTATAACACTAATAACATTAAAATAATAGCAAACATATCCAATTAGAATATCATTTTAATCTTAAAAATTGACAAAAAGATAAAAAAGTTCAAACCATATAAAATAACAGCTAACATAACTATATCACCAAAAATAAGATTAACTATGAATATTAAGAAGTAGATGTCTTGAACTATATCAATTCTTCGAGGTACAAATAACTCTACTTCAAAAAAATTTTAAAATTTCATTGGATAAGAAATTGAAGGTCGCTAAATGTATAATTTACCATTTGAAAGCCAATTAAAACCATCCCATAGAAAACGCCATCTCGAAGTAAGGATAACAAGTTGGAATTTCATAATGAAGAAAAGGTACAGAAACAAAGAGTGATACCAAAAACAATAATATTAATTGAAGACCTTCAACATTTTTTTATATCAGTTGAAAGTACGACAAACACTGATAGATAAAATCAAGGCAGTTCAGAAAATTAATACTGAATATCCAAAACCTCTGAAACAACTTTAATCAAGAAAGAGGTTGGTTATAAATATTGATGAAAATGATATAATCAGAAATAAGTTATAGTTATAAGTGCCTGTTGATTCTGATTTGAGAAAGAAAACTCTACATGAAGCTCATCATTCACACAGTTCATCCAAGCAGCATAAAAATGTGCAAGGACTTCAAATTGATATTTTGGCGGCCATGTATGAACTGCAAAATATGTGTCTAAATGTCAAGCTTGTTTGTAAAGGCTAAGCATCAGAGACCAAACGGATTGCTACAGTCATTGTCAATACTTGAATATAAATGGGAAGAAATTGTATCGATTTTGTTATGGGATTTCCCTGATCCAGACAGGGCCACGACAGTATTTGGGCAATTATTAACAGGCTAATAAAGGCAGCTCATTTCTTATCAATCACACACACAGATTCAATTAAAAAATTAGCTATATTATATGTTAAAAAAATATTAAATGAAGGATATTCAAAAATTTATTGTTTCTGACAGAGATGGAAGATTCATGTCCAGATTATTGAAAGACATTCAACAAGGCATGGGAACGGATCTGCACATTTCTACATCATTTCATCAACAAACTGATCAACAATCAGAAAGGGCAATTTAGGTACTGGACGATATGTTGAGGCTTTATGTTCTCGACTTTAGAGACAGTTTGGGAGATCAAATTCCAAAGACCAAGCTCGCCTACAATAATAGCTATCAGTCTGGTATCAAAATGGCCCCTTATGAAGCATTGTATGTCAGGAAATGCAAACTTCCATTAAGTTGGGTTGAAGTGGGTGAACATCGAATGTTATATCCTAAGTTGGTTTATGAAACCACAGAAAAAACCAGATTAATCAAAGACAGATTAAAAGCTACTCAGGATCAACAACAGAAATATTATGAACCAAATCACAAAATATTAGAATTTGAAATTAGTGATTTCATATTGTTAAAAGCCAGGCCAATGAAAAGTGCAGTCAGATTTAGGCGGAGGGACAAGTTGAGTACAAAATACATCGATCCTTTTGAAATTATAGAAAAGATTGATCCAGTTGCTTACAGGCTAGCTTTATCTATCGATATGTCAAATACTCATGATGTGTTTCACATTTCAATGCTAAGAAAATGGGTTTCAAATTAGACTAGAGGATTTCACATTAAGACATCGAAGGTCAAAAAAATTTAACTTATATTTAAGAGTCTGAAATCATTTTAAAAATTGATGTTAAAAGCTGAGGAACGGACATTCTTTTTGTCAAGATAAAGTGGAAGCGCATGCCTAAAAAGAAGCTATATGGGAAAAATAAAAAGAAATGCGACAGAATTATCCTTCTGTTCAAGTAAACTCAGCAATTTCGAGGATGAAAGTCTTATGAAGAGCGAGTTGTAACACCCAATATTTGAGAAACCAAGTAAAAGTTCAACAATTATAAAATGTACCAAAAATTTGCATTTCCCGAAATTCGACCGAAACAATTTTATAAAATTCTATATGTTGAATAGATCAATTTATTATATAGCAATATACACTAATTATGAATATAATGAAAGATATTAAAATAATAATATATTGAGTTAATTAAATTTAATTAACCTTAATCATTTCTTAAGCTCCCACACCCTCATTGTTCCCAGTCGACCTCTCCCGCGCTCAGCTGCTCATGCAACGACTTGATTAGAATTTACGACTTAAAGGTATTTTGGGTGAGTTATAATGTCACATTCACTTCCCCTCTCCCGATTCATTCCCTCAAGCGAAAGCTTCACCCCGCGCATTATAACACAAGTGGGATTCAACAATAGTCATGCACATGCAGAGTGTAGCATTCGACAATTCAAGGCTTCGGGACAAAATCGGTGAGTAGAAAACCCTCTTTCATGATATTCCAGGAATTTTTTCCTGTTACTTCCATTTGGACATTTGCCACAAATCGGTGCACTTCTTCAATTCCAATAGTTGTAGCGGAGACAAACCTATGTCGAAAGCGAGGAAATTGGTTTGTGGAGTTCCATAAGGGCTTTGGCATAATTCGTAGGTTGTTTACGCTAGACGGTGAACTCGAGACAAACTTGGGAAAACTTGTTGCAGTGTTACTCCGTCAATTCAAATGAGATAATTTTGCGCTAATTTAAGAAGCACTAAACTCTGTAGGTTTTCATGTGATTTTATGTTTGACACAGTTGCATTTAGAATTTCTTCCAGATTAAAAATGAATATCTGCATTGACTGTATGAATGCAAATTGATTGCACCATATGATACATGATTTTTATCATGTTATAAATGTGATGCATGTGTTTATGAAAACATTGATTGCAGGTATTCATTTACTAGGATTCATGCATATGATATATAAAATATCTATGATGAATGTTTATTACAAGAATTATGCTTTAACAAATGTCACAAGTGTTTTTATGGGTAGGGGTGTAAACGAGCCGAACACGAGCGAGCCCAGGCTCAGCTATTGTTCGGCTCATTGTTCGGCTCGTTTGCTTAGCGAGCCGAACATGAGCTGTTCACGAAAAAAGTCGTTTTGACAACTCGTTTTGACAACACTAATCACGTAACCATAAAATGTTAAAGATTAGGACAAAATTTAAAACATCATTTGAATCTAATTTAATAATTTTTATTCTATTTTCTTAATTAATATTTTTAATTGATTATAAATCTTTGTAGCCTTGTGGTCAATTAAGTTTTTTTTTTAAATAATACTCATTATATATATATATATATATATAATTGTTTAGTAGTAGACGAACACGAACAAATAAAATTTTGTTTGTGTTCAGCTCGTTTATATCTCTAGCGCAAAAAAATTTTGTGTTTAGCTCGTTAGCTCAGCGAACTAGTCGAACACGAGCTTCTTAACGAGCCAAACACGAGGTGTTTGCGACAACGAGTCGTTTTGACAGCCCTAGTTATAGGCACGTTATTACAAGAATACATGCAAGTACCGATGATAAGTATTGATGGATTCCCGACTCCTAATTTTCATATAGTGGCAAACCTCTGAGAATCGTTGGGATTATAAAGCGACGTAATGTGAGGAACCATTGGTATCAAGAGGGCAATTGATAACTGTTATTTTGGGATGGTCCAACCTTTATCAATAGCTATTGTAGCCTTCGGGCTGGGTGACAGCCCAATGACATGCATGACAAAAGAATAATTAAAGCCCATATAATTACAAGTGACATTCCTATGATCAAGCTGACTACTCTTATGAACATGTTTATGACTATATGTTTATGATTATACACGAATGAATGAAAAAAATATTCTATATAGCAATCATAATTTCATGCACTACATGTCATTTCTTTTCATGTTTATACATTTAAAACATGATGTGTTATGTGTTATGATTATGTACATGAATTTCATATAAGCATGCATGCATGTTTTTTTTTTGTCTACAAAATTTTATTTTAGCTTTAATTATTTCGGAGAAGTTATTATTGCTCATTCTACATTGTTGACATACAGAAAGGGGTAAGAAACACCGGGGCGAGTAGCCAAACGTGACTTGTACAACTTTTATATTATAATTTTGGGAGCTTGTACAAACTTTTGGATACATACTATCATTATTTTGGACTTCACAGCTTTGTATAGATATATATATTTTGATGATATGATTTTCACACTTACAAGTATATGCATATGAATGAATTATGAAATGAAATGTATCATGTATGTTTGTGGCGATTTAATTAAGACAAGTTTATCACCCACTGAATCCTGATTCTACAAATCAAAATGATTGTTGGTGAAAATTTAATCTGACAGAAGCATTTGCCTTTGTCGCGCCTTTACCGATACTTAGCGGGGGTCAGTTGGGGTGTGCCAGATATTGTAGAGGGAACTATAAAGAATATGATTAAAATAATTATGGAAGGAAATATAAATGTTATGAATGAGAAAATTGTTAAGGATGTTCTAAAGGACACTATGAGGAAGTGATTCAAGGGATGACAACGAATTTGAATTCAATAAGGGACATCGTTGAAGCCATTGTGATTTCCAGAAAGAAATATTTTTTTTTTCCTTGACAAGGCAAGTTAGCCTCTCATTAGTAAAAGATTAAGGGGACAAGCAACCATATGTCATGTCCTCCATACATATTGACAGATACTTGAAAGCATCTTTGTTAAATAAAAACATACTAAATAAGTGTCATAGTTAAAATGACAAATAGCAAAAAATTTTATGAGAATTTATGCTGTATCAAATTTTATCCAGAGCATTAGAGCTTTGGTTGGGTTTCATAACCTTGAGTTAATCAAAAAATTTTAGCTGCACATATAAAAATTGTGTGAGAATGGGTGGGCAAAAAGATCTCGTTTCTATCAATAATTGTAACTATTAGTGAAGATGAGATAATATAAAATCGACTTCCGTGGTTCGCACATGTACATATAAATGGTATAAGGTAGCTAAATTATTATAGAAGATTAGGATGGAAAATAAATTTACCAAAAGTAACGAGCATAAAATTTATGCAAAAAAAAAATTGTTCATAATAAGTTTATCGCCTCATGTAACTCTTGGCCTCTGTAATAATAAATGGAGGCAAAGACTGAAAAAGCAAACACCAAATAGTTATAATAATGTTATTGATAATGACTATGAGTAGGATGCAGAGATCAAAAGACAAATATATTTCTTTATATTGCATTAACCAAGGAAAGTATTGCTGCACAAGTGTTTTTTAACGTTCCTAATATAATAAAGTATGAGAAACAAGATTGAGAATCAACTAAAAATCCAAATGAGCCAACTGCTACATGCTTCCATTATTAATAAGATACCAAAAAAAAAAACAAGGGGCATTTACATACATACCACCCAATTCCTATTTATTTACATATCTAACACCTAAAATTTTATTTTTACATTTATATCCAAATCTTATCCAAATCTTTCATATCACATCAAAAATACCACTATTTTAACTTTTAAAAAGTGAAAGACAGCATTTCATACATAGGTAAGGTGGCACATATGTAAAAATTGAAGTTTAGGTGTTAGATATGTAAATACCTATGAATTGAGTGGTATGTATGTAAATCTTCCAAAAAACAAATGTGTATCATAATGAACTTTGTCATTATTATCCCATCTTTCAGTAAGACTACACCTACAAGCATGCAAGGTAACGCCTTCCCACGGCATTTGGTCAACATAAATGCATGGATTAATAAAAGCACTGTAACCGAGTATGTAGGTCATATCAGGCAATTTGACAACAGAACATAACAATAAAATAAAAATAAATTACTTCCTTCAAGCGGAAGAATGTTTAGTGTGGTGTGCTTTATTTGCCGTCATAAATGAAACCTACTAAACAAATATTTTAAATATGCATAACTTCAGATGATTCAACCTTTAAGAAAAAAAAAGAGTATTATGGGAATCATGATTTATAACAGGTGGATGTAGATAATGGGCATTAACCTTCTATGTGAAAACTGTTCATTGTCCACACAATTAGTGTTAATATTTTCAAATGCAAGATCAAGATTATTGGTGCTTATCTGCAATCTAAGATGATCTGGTAATCTATTTCAAAAAATTTTCACCATTGATCAAACATGATGAACAAAAAATGGCTTGTTATGCCACCTAATTAAAAGAAATAACTCTAAATATTTTTTAATTGGATAAATTGAAATTGTTCTAGATGTCCTTTTATAAATGATCAATTTTTTTTCATTTATTTGGGACTGCACCAATAAAATAATGAATAAATCATCTAAAAACTGTATGAAGTTTGGCATCATCAATGTTATGATGAAGTTAAATGTGATTGGTCTTGGTTTACCATTTGAATGTTTAATGATTGAAAAAAAAGCAAAAAAAATATTGAGAAGGAAAACGTCTAACATGTTAAAGGGTGAAAATCTATCTTTGTAGCTAATTATATTTGTAGCTGGAATGATGAAGAGAAAATCAATTATGTTATAGAGATGTTAGCATGCCACCCGCTGAGAATAAAAGATAGTGAAAAATTAAATGATTTGCACGTGTATGACCAACAAAGTAGATGAAACTAATTTGAAACAAATAGCAAGAGAAAGAGTAGACCAAATGTTACGAGACTAGAAATTGAGTCATGCATTATTTAAGTTAACATCATATGGAATGCAACAAAAATGAATCGAGTAAGGGTCTGTTTGGGGCAGCTTGTGCGTCTCAGAATAAGCAGCTTCTCCTGAAACGTGGCCCGGGGGTCGACCCGTGGCCTGCATTAAGTATAAAAAACTCAAACGCGGCAGACAGCGTTTTCAAAAACGCACAAACCAAATGGTTAGGCGGCGTTTTTTCAAAAACGTCGCCGCACTTGCCGCACTTATAAGTTGCCCCAACGGGTCATAAGTATCCACAAAGCAAAGTCAAAATGATTGACGCAATGCTAATAGCGATGATAAGATAACAAATGCCGACAAATAAAGTTGATAAACGGTAAAATGTAAACTTCTCTTTAGCTTGGAAGATTAAAGTTTTCATTCTAATATCAAATTCATGGAATAGAAATAATTTATTATAGAGAAATTTACATACATAACACACAATTCTAATGTATTTACATATATAACACCTAAACTTTCATATTTAATATATAAGACTTCGGTGTGATAAACCTATGTATGAAAAGGTTTATTTCACTTTTAAAAAGTAGGTGATAGCAATATTTTAGATGTGATATTAAGGATTTGAGTGTTATGCATGAATATATGAAAGTTTGGGTGTTCAATAGGTAAATATATAAGAATTGTGTGGTATAAATAGATTGAGCATAAATACCTTGTCTTCTGCTCCTGAAAGAATGAGCCCTCTCCTCAAACGACATAAATCAATCCTAAAAGACAATAAAATAAAATAAAACTATTGCAGCATAACCATGATAAGGTCTGGTAGAAAAATATCTTAAAGTATGTGGAAAAAAAACTTTCAAATCAATTATCTGAGCAAATTTGTGACAGGTCTAATTGTAAGAATATTACACTTATGATGATCTTATCTTGCTAGATAACAAAATAAAATAAACAATATAATCATAGTTGGAGAATGCTGCACCATAAACTTAGACCTAAAACCTATAATTTCTGACTAAGCAGTTGCAATTTAGGTGAACTTTAGGAGTAAGCAATAGAGTAATGAACCTGAATCATTTTGAATGCAGCTCTTATTTCAATAATCTCAACTTCGTTGGGACCCTCAACTGAGACGATCAGGAAGTTTAGCTTTTGTGGAAAACATTATAATAGTGAGGAGCTTTCCAAAGTGCTAAAAAATTGAATGTGATACTTTTGATGAGCCAATTATAATCTCCACAAATATTATTAGTAGCATTATTAGATGTAATCATTTTGTCAAAAAATAAGCATTGGTTAGAAATGCTCTGTTTATTACAACAACAACAAAGCCGTAATCCCACTACGTGGGATCGGCTACATGAATCATTTTTCTCCATTGCGTCCTATTTAGTGTCATATTTTCATTTAGTTCTAATAAATTAAGATCATTTTTTATACAATAAGTCCAAGTTTTCCTAGATCTACCTCTGCCTTTCTTAACATAAGTCGAATCTAAAACATCTACTCTCTTAATCGGATCATCAGATGGTCGACGCTTAATGTAACCAAACCATCTAAGACGACTTTCTCTAATTTTTTCCGTCACAAGAGCTACATCATTCCTATCACGGATATAATCATTTCGCATTTTACCTCTAAGTGTCAAGTCACTCATCCACCTAATCATTCTCATCTCGACAACGCTTAACTTAGTATTTTGCTTCTCTTTTAAAGGCCAACATTCAGCGCCATAGAGCATTGCAGGTTTCACCACCGTCTTATAAAATTTTCCTTTCAGTCTAAGCGGTACTTTTCTATCACACAAAAGGCCCGAGCATTCCTCCACTTCAACCAACCAACTTGAATTCTACTATTAACATCCTCATCTATATCACCATCGCTTTGAACAACAAACCCGAGATATCTAAATCGTTCACACCTTTTAATAATTTGATCATCCAAAGTTATACTTTTCACTAAAGTTACTACTACTAAAATTACATTCATGTCGTGATTTTGTTTTACAAGTTTTACGTTGACTGTCGACTACCTAACGCAACCCTCCACTTTTCACACCTGGGTTTGGGACGACCGGCAATGGCTCTGTTTATTACAATAATAAAAAAATTATATTTTTTAACACGATAGCACGATGCATTTTAAAACTTGGACTCAGAGAGTTAAACAATTTTCTCATCCTGAGCATTGCAAAATAATGATGTTTTGAGAAAAAAAATACTTAAGTTTGACAAATTTCGAGAAAATAAGTTGTAGTTTAAATATCAAAAGTTTTGTACAATTTAGCAATTCATCAAAATCTACTATAACCAAATGCTCATTCCAAACGCTGACAGTAAAAAAAATGAATGTGTGACTTAATAGCTAACCAACTGTGCATTATCATTGGGCATATAAAATTAGTAAATTAGCTGAAATAATTACGCACACAACAATTAATTACATCTCAAGAAATTAAATCAAATGCTTAAATTCAATTATCAATATGGTTCTACCACTTATGTTACGTCCTATAACAGAACCAAATATAAAATTAAAATGCTTATTATCTTCCATATGAAAAATCTAGACAGATGGTCCGTTGAATGTGAGAACAGGTGCCAGGTTAACAAGCAATTTAAGTATGATGTGATCATACACCAGTTTGGAGTCTAATTTTGATTTAAAAGAAATTAATAGTATGCTTAGGTGCTAGGGAATTTTCTTCCTGATCATCCTTAAGAAAGACTATATTATTTTCAATATTTTTAATATAATTAGTATCTTTAGCAAGAGGATTTAAAAGATTTAGTATAGGTCTGGCTTCTCTCTAGGCTTAAATATTTGAGGAAAAAAGGCTAGGGTAAGTATAGGTTTAATTAAAACAGAAAAATTAATAGTATCCTCAACAATATTTTCATAACGTGAGCTATAATAGACTTAAGGCTTTATAATTTGTTAATAATATGAGGGAGACTTTTCAGCAATTGATTCTATGTACTCATTATTATAAAGGTGATTATAAATATTTATATTCTTGAGATGATGGATATTGGATCAAGTGACAGGATCAACCCTGTGGGTTTTCCTTACAAGATGGCATCATTCTCATCATTGAAATTCAATTTGAGGACTAAGATCAACAATTTAGCCATAATTTTATTAAATGACATAATTCTTAATTCTAATCTTAGTTAAAAGTGCTCCTGACTTCTGAAAAGTAACAAGATCATGATGATATGCTGAAACAATCTACATGCAGTGAGATAAATGAATATGCAAGATGTAACTGCAAGATATATGGTCTAACTGAAATGATAAGAATCAATACTCCTATCAACAAAAGAAATTAAATAAATGCAAGAATGAAATTTCATTACTACAAACTAAATTCATGCAAATTACATGACAATAATAAACTAAATTAAGCCTAATTCATGTCAAATGATCAATAGTAAGCAAGGTTTAATCTAATGATATTGATCACTCGCAATTTGAAGTTCAGAAAATTCAATCAAGCTTATTAGAGGGACAATTATGAAATGAAACCGAAACTGATAGATACATAAAGTTTCCTAGGCATGAGATTAGATGTGGCAATGAAGAAAATTGTAATAATAACTCTAGTCTAAGGATTATAACCTTTAGAGCATCAATTTTTTGACACAAGTACTCCACAGATGAAATCTTTGATCACAAAACAGCATTATATTAAATTATCGTTCAGTATTTAGCGTATAGCAAAAGGTACCTATCTTAGCTCCAAATTTCAATTAAAAAGGAACAACTTCGAAGGAGCAATAAGAGCATATGAATCAATGTAGCACATGATTGGAGATTAATCATTGGAGAAATAAAATACAGCAAATAATCGTAGTGAGTGGAGATTGCAAACTAGATCACATGCAGAAGCCAATGCCAAAGAAGAGAGGTCATGAGCTCTTATAAGAGAACAAAAAGAAGAGTTGAGCGGGTGCTAAAAAAGAGATCCAAGAAAAAGAAAATACAGGAAGTAAGAACAGATAAGAATAAACTAATAATAAACAAAGAATTAGAGGAAACAGAGACGACGGGTTTGGATAAAACTAGAACAAGACACAAATTAATTCAATCATCAATTAAAATAATTCACAATTAAAATTCTAGGTCCCTATTTATATTAAAGAGTCTATGTAAACAACAAGTAAAAATATTAAATAAAAGAAACCTAAATATTATCAAATAGGTAGATCCATAAACATTAACAAAAAATCTAATATTTCCTAACGCTAACAAACCAATAATATTAATAATCAATATCATGAGACTGATGTCAATCATGTGTCCTTGCTAGAAGGTGTGATTGTTAAATGGCACACAAAAAGGCTCAAGTTCCTCGATTTTTTTTCTTATTAAAGATTAATGTTATGCCTTTCTAACATATATTCTTGAAATATATTCAAACAAGCCAATTGGGATAAATGAATTTGGGACGATCAAGAAATCACTGTAAAAAAGCATTATGATGAGATATCAGAATAAAAAAGCAAACCTTGAAGAGTGGCCTCTCCATTGATGAACTTCAGAAGAACTGCCTAAGAAAGACAATCTATGTTGCTCCAACGCTAGTTTTTCAAAGTATCTCTTCATAGATGCTTCAACGGGAACTGATAAATTAGAACTTGACCTACCATGAAGACTAATCTTTTCATAAAGATCCCTCATCAAAGTAGAAGAGTAAATTATTTTGTTCCTATAAAAAAATAATATTTTAGAAAATATAACAAAAAAGTATGCTGCATGAAAAAAAAAAATCAGTCTCATAAGAACAACAAGGCCATGGAATGTAGAATGTAGAATGTAGAATGTAGAGAAAAGGTTCATTGCAACAATAATGCAAGAAAAAAACATATTGGTCGAAAATTTCAAGATATTTAAATTAATAATAAATCCTTGAAATTCACAAATACATAAACTAGTCGCAAGCCAAGGACCAAAAAAGTGTCTACGAGATATAACTCAAACATGCTACAGCAAAGCATACTTTAAATAATACAATAATCATCTAAAATGTACTATAGAACAAAAAAATTATATAAGAATGAATAAGAGAGGAAAAAAGTTGGAAAACAACTCCAATTCAGTCATCTAAAGAATTGGTTGATTCCCTTATCATTCACAAAATGTCACGCTAGAGGAAAAAAAAAAGCTTCTCCAAATGTTTTTCCAAATCGCCACAGCTTCTTACATTAAATCTTGCTGAATTTAGGTTGGAAAGGAAAATGATGAGTCAAATCCCTCTATCATTTGCACACGAGAATGGCCTACTTTTTCCATAAAAGAATAGGATAGAGACCAGATAATTGATGTCACTATACCTACAGATATCCTCTAAATAGATAAATCAATTTTTAATCATACAAGCTTATAGTATAGCATGAAAGGGCTAATTTAGCCAAAATAGCATGTAGACAACATCAAACATCTACTCTAAAGTATGCTTTTAATCCTAAAACTTGATTAAGAAAGCATACTAATCAGGCTAAAATTTTTTGGTTTGCTGGTGGTTCTTATGTCCTAGACGTCGCAAATGTCACTTCACATGGTCATGTCATTATCATCATCATCACTGTTGAAATCATCTCAACTATTTAGCTAGAGTCAGTCCCTTCCCCTCGAGCAAGATATTTTTATTTTTTCAACAGAAAAAATAGAATAATTTGATTGATCTATATGCACCAATAGGTGCATGTAAATAGGAAAATTAAATTTTTAATCAAATAAGAATATATTATAGCATCAATAATTTATTATAAGCAAGAACACAAAGAAAATATTACACATTAATGTAACTATAATTTTAAGCATGGAAATCATCATCTCAATTATAGAAGCATGTAAAAAAAGAAAAGAAAACTAAAATCTTTTGGTTTGCTTGCAAGTTCTTTCATCCTCAAAGTCATGTTTTCATGTGGTCTCACCATCATCATTTCTACAAGTATCCTAAGTATTTTGGGTTATTTTATGAATCGAAATCAGTTAAGAACAATACAAGGTGCTAACTCAATTTTGTGTCATTTAACAAGTTGATTTTCGTTGGTAGTTTTCCTTCCTAATTGTCAACATTATTTATTCAAATTAGCAGGCCATATTTCACATGAACCCCAAACAACCCCATATTATTTTTCATTATTTTAACCTTACATGAGTGTCACTCATACCATCTATATAATATAATTGTTCTTCACAATATATTTTCTATAATTACCACACTACATCATTATCCTAGTTCATAAAAGTATATGTCACCACATAAATGCATTTTATTTCACCTTGATTCCAAACTTTCAGGCAGCAAATTACTTCAGACACAAAGGGTTGTTTTAGCACAAGGTTTTAACTGAGATTTAGCTTAAAAACTGCCAAATATTTTTTTGAGACGTCAAAATTATAATGCATCTTATATTACAGTTTATGTGATTTAGAATGATTTATTAAATATTGACAATGTATGATTTAAAAGGCATAACTCTACCAACCTCCCCTGCCTCTCTTGCTCTCTCCTAGAACCTCTCCAATGCCCCCATCATGGTTGCCTCACTCCACTGTATGGCCAACTTTCTTCCTAGGAATCTCTCATTATATTATGGTTCCTTTTCCCTCGCATTGGACTTTATATGCTCACTAGGACTCCCACTTCAAAAGGATTATACCAATATTCACAATCCTTAGTCAAGTCATGTATCCGAGTATGTTTCTCATGAGATTCAAGTTATGTTATGGTATTTTCTACTTGGGCATCATAACTTGTATTATATTGAAAAATGATATCCCCATTTATTTATTAATTAAAAACTTAATTTGTATCAACGTGAAAGTTATTAACTTGCTAAACATCCTGATAAGTGTACCCAAGCCTGAAATATAAATCAACGCATATCTTCTCTGTGATTCTTAGTGATACCAAGAAGCGCTGAAAAATAAAAAATACAAATGGGGCTAGGTAGCTTGTCACCTTTAACGATCACATCAGAACAACTTATACCTTTCTCATGAAGAAAAAATCTTAAACTTCAAGCACATTTGAAACCTTTCACAGCATGATCCCCACCAAATTTCAAACCATAATTCAAATTCTCAAAATTGATAATGCAAAAGACAACTACAACCCCACTCTCGGCTCTTATCCATCAAAAAATCGCATTATTCATATAAGCTCTTGTGTGGACACACTTCAACTGGTGTGGCTGAGAGAAAGAACAGACATCTCATTAAAGTGGTTGGGTCAATTATATCCACTATGTACCCAAATACTTATGGGAGATGCAATTCTAGCATCCACTTATCTCATAAATAGGATGTCCAAGAAAGTTTTAAACTTTAAAAAAATCTCTCAACACTCATAAAATCAAACCCGCATATTCAAACCTTCACTTCTAACTTGCCACTAAAATTTTTTCGATGCATCACTTTTGTTCATCTACATCAACCTAATAATACAAAACTTAATCTCAGGTCAATCAAATGCATCTTTGTGTGCTACTCTTCAAACAAAAAAGGATATAAATGCTCCTCTACATAAACATAAAGATTTTACAACTTCATTGATGTCACCTTCTTTAAAATCAACCATATTACCCCAAATCTAACATCTAAGGAGTTTGAGAGAATAACAAATTAGGAGTATCATTCAGAAACCTCAAACTCACCTCCCTTATATCCATGATGAACCCACAGTTGTCCCCACAATCAAAAATCAAACTGAAAATGAACCTATTATTCCTCTAAATCCTCACGTCCCCCACTAAGAATCAGGAACTCCGTGAGTACACCAAAATAAAAAAATAAAAAAATAAAAAAACTCAATGAGCATGTAAGGGACAATATGTATTTATTAAAATCAAAAATGAAAATCACTATAACAAACTCCACACGCCCCAAATATTCACACAGAGGTTGGGTCAACACATGATGAATACTAAAGGAGCACAAGAATGCACAAAGTACTTGATAGAAGAATTTGCGACATCAAAAATTATTATTCTATTACAAATCTTTTGTCCATAACCCAGTAATGTGCAGGTCTCAAATTCAATCCAAAAAGTCTTATCTATTCCTGCTTGGAAAAAAGCTGGAAAAAGAGATTCTTGGATTTGAAAAGAGATTCACCAAGACTATTCTAATCAATGGGTACCTATCAGGGTCAAGTTGATTACACTTTGTTTGTGAAATCAAATCAAAAATGTATAACAGTCATACTTATTATTTATATATAATGACAAAATCAAACTTAAAATAATAAAAAATTAATGACTTCTGCATTTCAGATCAAAGATATTGAAACTTTAAGATACTTCCTGGAAATGAAAGTAGCTAGATCAAAATAAGTAATGGTCATGTCTTGAATAAAATAGACTTATTAAATGAGACATAAATATTAAGATAAAAACCAACTGACACTCCAATGGATCTCAATCGAAGAACATCAAAAGGAGAGGATAATACCCCAGCTAAAAGGAAGGTATCAAAGACTTGTGGAAAAACCTTTATTTGTCACATACAAAACCTGACATTGTTTTCTTATGGGTATAGAGCGTCAACATATAAACGATCCAAATGAAGATTATTTAGAAACAATCTTTTGAATACTGAGATACCAAAAGATGACTCAAAAACGTAAATTGATAGTCAAGAAGACTAAAAACTGTGATATTGAAATCTATATTGTTGCTAGCTAGGTATGAGAACTGACTGATAGAAGATCTACCACGAGTTAATGTTCATTTATATAGGGAAACATTGTTACATGGAGTAGTAAACAAGTAAGTTATGATGGCAAGAAGAAGTGAAGAATCTGAGTATCGTGATATAACCCTAAGAATTTGTGCAGGTAAATGACTAAAGAAATTACTGGTGGAACTTCACATGGAGAACCAAAGAACCATTAATATGTTTAGTGCTAGTCAATTAGTTGTCAGCATTTCAAAGAATCTGATACACCATGACCAAACCAAAAATATAAAGATTGAGAGAATATGAGAAGTTTAATTAAGGAGTTGTTCAGTTGTCTCCCAACTCAATATTAAATTGCTAGTATTCTTATCAAAGCTCTTCCTCAGCATCACTTCAGTGATCTCAGCAGCAAGTTTGTAATGTATGATATAAACAACACAACTTTAGTGGGAGTGTTGATATGCATATCTGGTTCAGAAAACCGTAGGTATGTTATTACATTTTAGGAGGAAAAATTATTCTCCCTTAATTATCTATTATTGTATTTTGATTTCTTTGCTTTTTATTATGATGATTTGAATTTCCCTCAAATTGTAGAAGGGTTAATTTAAGTTGTATATATATTTTTTATTTATTTAATGAGAACATAAGATAATATTTTTTCCTACAGTTACATATATATATA